TTGATTGATTGATGGATGGATGGGTGAATGGATGGATTGGTGGATACATCAGCTCGTTACTTGATAGCTAGATAGGCTGGTTGACTGATTGACTGATAGATGGATGGATTGTTTGCTTGCTTGCTTGATTGATTTATGTGTTCTCTTAGTGGTCGATGAATCGATAGATAGCAAACTGATTAAGTGATTTGTGTGGCAGCGCGGTAGAATAAGGCTCTCGTCAATTTTTGGGCATGTAGAGTTATTGATATCATCTTTAAGCTTGTTCACTTGTTTTTATTTGGATGAAAAAAAATATCCATTTATCTTGAATACAAGTCGAGATATTTGCGAGTGAAGGAGGTGGGGGTCACCTGTTTTCAGAGGTAAAATTAGTGAGACAATAGTCGCCAAAGATTAGTTATTTCCTTAGCCTAAGAGTCCGAGGTAACTGAAAAAATTACAATTTTTGTGCCTTTAATCCACATTTTTCAGAAAAATCCACACAAATATGTGTTCTTTAATAGGCATGAAAGGTGCTGAGACAAATAACAAAATTTGATAGAAGTTCACAAACTTGCGGAAAAATGCAAGTTTCTTCACTTTGATTATTTTGACGAGAGCCTGATTCCACAACGCTGCCTCAAATTTATTAAAAAATAACTGGTTGATTGTTTTCACTGAATAATTGGTTGATTTCTCAATGCATCAGCTGCTTACATGATAGCTAGATAAGCTGATTGATATTTGCAAGTGACACCCTCCAACCATTCACACAGACAGAAGCAATAAAGATAAAGAAAGGAAACAAGATGATCTACAAGAGACGCCCTCTAACCACCCACACAGATAGAAACAACAAAGAGAAGTAAAGGAAATATGATCTATAAGTGGCACCCTTCAACCACCCACACAGACAGAAAAAAACAAGACTGTCCCCGTGGTTTTATGCAACTTGCATAATTTAGCAAAATTTGAATTTTTTTGGGCATCATTTCAGATTATTTTCCTTTATCATTCTTTGTCAAAATTAACAGAATCGCATAATTTCACATTTTTGAGCTCAGTCTGAAATAATTTCAAAATTGTTTTTGCATAAAACTGCGGGGTACACCAACACAGGAAAGAAAAGGAACAGGATCCGCACATAACGATTTCCAAACACACTTTTCATATTGGAGCGACAAGGGGGAAAATGGGATCAGATTTCTAGTCGAATATAATATATCTTAAACATTTTCTGTTCCTACAGGCCTATCCTTCATAAGCTTCATAAGCTTTTAACGTTATCTTTCATTATTGTTGTTCTGTTCCTATGTCTGGATGAAAACAGTCTGTGTGTGTGAGTGT